CTATTTTACGCCCTTGATACTTGAATAACTATTTCTGTCGACATCGTAATAAAATGTATAAATTAAGTTCTCGAAATTGATCGTTAACGACCCTCAAATTGTTTTATTGATAAACGATCATGGTATAGGCAACCAAACATACACCGCGTCGTTTTACTGTTGGGATTATAACTTACAGAATCTGCATTTATATCGAAAATATGGATTTCATCGATGATTTCTCCGTCATTAATACACTCGTTGGATAAATAAGTATTGTGTACCACTTGGGTTGATAAATGTACGTTAGCATTTTTAGAATTCATCATTCCTCTCAAATCCTCAAATTATGTTCCGAAGTAGTATTTGTTCTTAATGTCAACATAAATTGACGTGTTTAAAATGAAATGATCGTACAGTAGTAATACATGTATGTATCTATTGATGATTATCTAACTACAAAACCCTTCGATTTTGATAAACAAATTCTGTTGCGCATAACTCAAGTTTGGTGGCTTAAATCGGATTTTTCGATAATCATCAATAATACGAGTTGCGTTTGTTAAGATTTGTTCACTAATGGGCTTATATCACAAAAAAATCATTTCATAATTCGATAGAATTCACCCAAATTAGCTCACCACCGCAAACCGTTTGTTGCTGTGAGCTCCCTACGTTTCATAAAAAATTATTGAAATCCCCGATTTTTCGGACCTCTGGAAACGAGGCGTCAAAACCCTAATACTGAAACAAGACTATTCCAGACAGAGATGAATGATACATGATTTCTGACCAAGTGAATTAGCACGAGATCACAGTTGCAAGAATTAATATATCAGTTGCCTCAGTCTCCGTCGGGCGTTTGGTATTTTCTTTTAACTATGGCGAGATTAGGTTTTTACGTCATAAGAGGGTCCGTTTTCAGAAGGTAGGTACTATTATGTATGTCCAAAAATAAAACATTCCAGTTCATTTTTCGATCGAATTATGTCGTCAATCATTATTTATGTATAAAAGGATCATTATAAACATGGTTTGAGTTGAAAGTTCTACTAAGTTGTACACGCCCATGTCTTTCATGAAACTTGCAATTTATGGAAATTTTTATGGCTTGTGCCAAGGTCTGCCGCCAACGTCTTCTGCAAAAGTTTGAGTACCCAAACCTGCGATTGAACATAGTATTTTTCTTATTATGTACAATTTGAAAAAACATAATATTTTCGATAAAATTGATTTAATTTGAAATATTACAGTCGCTTCAGGATTTCAATCAGAACACTTAAGTCAAATGAAGTAATATTCTTGAGTTTTGCAAAAGTCAATTTTTTTTTAATTTCACAATATTTGGTTGTGAAACAATATATATGGCTGAAAGTTCAGCAGTTTCATCATTGGAAATCATCTTAACCGAGTCAAAATTGTATACAAAATTAGTTGAACTGTAATACTGAATTTGGTGGAAGCGATGATTCAAGGAAATGTTGAACCCTTTGTTTCTCCAGATTCGAATTTGACTTAATGAGCTTTGGCATTAAGCCCACTAGTTTCCCTCACTATCGAAGGCGATAACAATCGAAATACGATCATCCATCGTTCAGTGTTACAACTAGATCGCCAATTTAATTATGTAACAGACGATATATCGGCCCATCATTGGCCACATATTACTTGCCACTAGAATATAGCCTTGTATGCTGTTGTATAATTAAACTTATCCCAAGGTATCCCGGTGTATCAGATAAATGGCACGCCAACACGCGATTACGTAGGCGTTGCAAGGTTCGCACTTTATACAGGGTGAGTAGAACTTCATCGCCAACCCCAGTTCTATACTGGGTGATTCTCAACCAATACGCATAAAATTTGATTTTCGCCTATAAAGTGGGATAATTACAAATTTAGAGTAACCAGGATGTGCAAACGTTGTGCTTGCATGGTGAGCATCGGTATGCTTTCTGTATACATGGTGTATCTAAATAATACCGAAAATATTCAAGGGGTGATTCCTTGTGATATTTAAGGAAATAAAGTTCATATAAACATGTGTGCTTCGTTTTCGAGATACAGAGTATTAATATTTCCATAAAAAATCGTTTTTTATTCATGACTCGGTTGTCTTTTCATCAATTTCAATAAAACGTTGTGGTTTTGTGAATAGTAATATGAGACTTCTTCTGGTGCAATTGGATTCGAAATAATATTTCTAGTGGCGTCACAGTGGGTAAATTTATCGATATTTATGGTGAATGTACGCCACCATTTTTTCTGAGCTGCATATTTTCATTATATTGAACTATTGAAATAACAACTTTTTCATCCTATGTATAATTTTTGTATCTAGCTTAGTATTCGAGATACATTCTGTATAATATTTCTTTGCGCGTACGTCACAATTTCAAAAAACAAATCAAATCATTTCAAGGTCATATGTTTCAGTGGATGAGTGCCGTGCTGTTTCAGAAATGATGTTAGAATAAGTAATAATATTCTAAAAATTTGTATTCACTACTCCAGGTAATGTTGACTAACAAGCATTCAAGAAAACATAGGATTTGTATTTATTTCAAGTTTCAACTCTTTAATTCGTCAATTCATTGAGGGCAAGAACATGTATCAGAACTTTGGTATGGCTTGGTATATGACCCGATTTACACACACGCTAAAATTATGTACATCATGATTATATTCTTGAAGTAAGGTCTGACTATTTTTATTATTGATCAGGAAGAATTATGATGTACCTGTTGTATGGAAGTAAACGGGATAATAGGACCATTATTATCTTTCTCTCTTGTGAAATATTGTAACAAATTTGAGACTTCGCAAGACTTCGTGCTTGCGAATTCAAAGGTCTTCCTGGCATGTTGAATATTTGACAATGGCCACGCAAAACGATGTCATTTCAGCACCTACTGCACGCCTCTGAATTAGCCGATTCAAATGTGTCTCGGCATCATATACGTATTAATGATCAATACGGATAATCTCTATCTGTTTCCATAGCGAAACATGAAGCCGATTTTTGAAGACAAATGACTATCCATAAGGAAAAGTTTTGAAACGATCAGACACATACTGCTTTGATTGAAAGGCTAGTAAACGTCATTGTCCACCGAAACGCATGTCTTTGATAACTACTATAATAGCGCATGGCGCATGCGTATCATGCCACCAAATCCTTATGGATATTCATTTGTTTCATATTTTTGGCTTCATCCTGGCACCCGTTATGATCCGTATTGTTTATTAATACGTATATGCTCGGCATACGAACATCTCTGTATTCAAGCTTCACACCCGTTGGGTTCAAAAGCGATGTCGTAACTTATGTCAACAAACGTCATGATAGACATTGCTGCTTTACATGCAAATCTGAAGAGGACAGCAAGTTGCGCGTAGGTCTATGATAATTTCAGTCACACGCATAGAAATATTATACAGACTCTAATTCAGTTGCTTCATTGTTCACGAAATTGTGTTGCCGAGCAACACCACGAGTCCGTCAGGACGAGTGATATTGCTGTACGGCAAGATACGTCAATTGATATTTCTAGATGCGCATCCTTCCCAACAAAAAATGTCTATACAAGGCGTGTCATGTAATAGCTGCCAAAGCCAATTCTCATATTTCAAAGCAACACACTGTATTCAAATGCATTTTTAGATTCTCCCTGAAAAGCCGATTTTATCGATGCATCACCTTTGGTGTGTAGCAGGAAGGTGTTCAAAATCGAGATTTTTTTCAGTTTGAGATTTTTCGTGTCGAAACAATTCATTATTGGTCAAAACGGCTTTCAGTCCGTACCTCAACTTCTGTTTTACTATCTACTGACATTTACAGGATTGTTCAAGATTTAGAATTCGGATCACCCTGTATCTGTTCCAATTAAATGTCCAGGCAGAATTACGAAAACCTAGTAGGCCGCAGGCATCGCTTTTGCTAGAGATCTTTGAATCTGTCTGGTGGTCTGGTGCTACCCTGCATTGATAGAGAAATACTTGGAATCAGTGGCCATTCATATACAAAAATATACCTAAAATACCACATTATGTGTTTCGACAAATAAGTTACCACCCTCATTGAAATTGAAAAGACAATGAGGATTAGCTGATCCAATAATATCATGAGATATTCTCCAAACGAGAGTGATTGCTAGGATATTCTATTTATACTTAATTTTTCCACGGTGTTCATGAAGCGGTTTTGCTTCTACTCAATGGCTTAGTTTTTGAACCATCCAAAAATCAAGTTGAACATATCCTTAACGTTACGACATAAACGGTGGCCCTTTCTTTCTATATTCTTTGAATACGGAGCAACCCTATACATGGCACCAGGCACCCACCTCTTGGCAGGTCTATCGGGCCGTGTACGTGTGTTTGTCCGTGTGTGTCCCTTAAGTGATTCGCTATGTCTGCATGGACGATCAAAGCTTTCATTACTGAGTTATCTTGTTCGATACTAGGGGAGAACGCAGATATATAACACCAACGATTGATCTAGTGCTCAGCGATATGGGATACGAGATATGAGCACATGATAAGACAAATGTTGTGAGGGGGAAGTGGAAAAATAAACCTAACCTGACAAACATTATGTCCATAAACTCTTTGTTATCCTGGAAATATTAGTATAAGGTATACAGTAGTTTTTGATTTCATTGGTAGGTATTGTACGGTATGAATAAAATAAGGTTTGGGAACCTGATATGTGGAAATGCAGTAGATAACATGAGAGGCTCCGAAGACAAACCTTGTGTGTATTTCTTGTTAGGGTTCATGGTTCATATTTTTTTATGAACTTATAGGAATTGATAGTGGGCGTGGTTCAAGTGAGGCTTTATGATTGGTTGACCTTGGATATGATCATCTAGCCCCACTTAGACCACGCCTTTTATTTTGTCCTAGAAATCCCTCACCTCATCTACTCATAATGCGTCTGGTTCTTTTCAACATTCTTACTCACTCTGCGGTTACAGATAAAGAATCATTATAAATACATGTTTTTCTTTTTGTTCCAGGCGAAATTAGAAACGAAGGCCCTCAAAGCTAAACGGCCTGGTTTCACTGATGATCGCTACAAAGAAACTTCGTATTATATCGAAAATGGTGAGTAATGTTTCGCTAAAGTTGCTCCCTATTCCGCTTTCAACGCACGAGGGTCCTAGTGACTGGGCCAATCAAAGGACCTTCTGTTATAGATGATAGATGTCTTGTGCTTTTAATAATGCGGAAATTGAGTAGATCGAGTATGGCTTGTTACCCTAATGTTCCCTAATAATGTTGTCATAGCAATGATATTGGAACGGGTTTCAAATTGATATGCGCGGAAAATGATCTTTTTAATATAAGCTGATGTGTATGTCTTGAAGGCACTATTATTATGTAATTCCTCATTGGTTGCTCATATTGAATATTTTTCTCATCCATAAAAATAGATTGAAAATCTGGATGGCACATACCCTTATCAACATAAAGTTGTAGCATATAATAGTATGATACACATGCTAGTGAATGTCTCAGAAGTAAATTTTAATAAAGAACTCAATATTATAAAACAGATTGCAGTCAATAACGGATACAACGTTAATCTGATGACAGTATTCTCTCTAAAAAACTCCATGATAAAGCTATTCAAGAAGTTTATCCTACCATTAAGAATAATAATCAAAATTATAGAACTTTAAACTATATGGGATCATCAACTGAAAAATTAGCTTCATTTCTACATAAACAGGACTTGAGAGTAGCTTCTAGAACAAATAACACGTTGGGAAGGTTTATCAAAAATAATAAAGACAAAACTTTTAAATTCAAAAAATCAGGGGTATACAAACTCAACTGTGGTTCTTGTCCTAAGGTATATATCGGTCAGACAGGTCGTACGTTTAATCAGCGCATTCATGAACATAAGATGAATTTTTTGAAAAAGGAAACGAATTCAACATACGCCAACCATATATTAGAAGAAAACCACACAGGTAACTAATCCTTCAAGTTGGGAAAGTAGGATATATAAAAGTTAGCAAGCCAACGTTGGTTCAGTTCATTATACCAGTATATCACTTGACGAAGCTACTGTGTTAGCGAAACATGTTGTGTGTTTAAGAATTATGTAGAAATCTTATCGTTTGTGAAGTTTTTACATTCAACAAATTTCGATTTGTAAGTAAATTTTATAAATCAGTTCAATGTCAGTTTAGAGAAATCGCGAGTGCCAAACATTTGTTGTACCTTGGTTGCTCATATCCCTTTATAGTCGTAGTCATGAACATCTTGAGAAAATCTGTAGAACAAGTACACTGCATCTCTCAGTGGAGTAGTTGATTAAGCGTGGAAACGCTGTAAATCGTCTTCATATTTTTTTATGATATTTATAAATCGTGTGTAATAGTACATGTTTCGAGCCTGTAAAATTAGCTGGATACAATCTTTAAAATCTAGACGTTGAAAAAGGGTCACCGAAAAACAGTATTGAAAAAGCAGATTAAAAACACATGAAAAATGATCTCCTTCTTCTCAATCCCACATTGTAAAGTACTATAGTAAATATAATGAATAAATGCAATAATCTATGTTCCTCAATGCGTTGTCAAAATTTCATGTCATGAAGGACTTGCAATGCAGAGCTGGCCATGAACCAATTTGTCCCTATTTGGAGAAAGGCAAGGTTGACTTTAATCAAGTTAGTCATTAGGGTAACTCTATCCCTCCTGATTATTTCAATCCTTTTTACTACAATGCAAGCATCAAGCATTCAGGCTAATTAGGTAAGGATCCGATGTTCTTGTCGTATCTTTGTGCAGATAATGTGGGAACTCGACTTTTTGCCTCATAATCACACGCAAACGGCAGTGAAACAATCAGATGTTCCATACCGAATAGCGTGTTGCGGTTTTATTAAAATGCCTTTTGCATAATGTGGGTTTTTGATTTCCCTACTGAAATAGTGGCTGAGCTCGGAAAAGGCCCAATTTTCTCTCTATGTGATTTGGCATGCTTGTTCGTTACCTTATCGATCAACTGCTGAAAGGATGTCTGCCAACTGCATTGCTACTGAATGCCACACGGCATGCATCAAGCATGATTATCCGTGATAATTACTGGAATAATCCATAACTACGCTATGCCTACTACTTTTGAATTCTCGCGAATTTTCCTTAACATTTTTTTTTCTGTGACGGGAAAAAGTTTGACATGTCACTTTTTATATACCACTTATATCCTGGATATATAGGTGCAATTTTGAAAGCTTTTGTTGTTCCAGTTCCGAAAAGTAAGCCAATAACACCGTCTCCGAGAAAGAACTGAAAGTCCTTTTTATCTTCCATTCCCCTTCGCTGTTACGTCAATTACGGAAGATAGAAAGAACTGAAAGTCCTTTTAATCTCCCATTCCCCTTCGCTGTTACGTAAATTACTAAACAACCACTAAAATCGCAAGTTTTCAAATCTAAACACAGGAATAAATTGACATATATTCGATGAGTTCGAAAGATTTCCATAGCAACAATAAAGATGCCTGCAACATGCACAGGTAGTACACCTGTTGAAAACTTCAAATCACATCGATAATTCTCTGATTTTATTATGATGCAATATCTTCTCAATATTGAATCGACGTTTTTCGTGTCTCAAGAAGGAATAGTGTATTATAAACGGGAAAAATATGAAATTTCAACCTCGATCTGGAATCTATTACTTTTTTCCCTTGTATAATAAGAGTTATTTATGATACAAGGGAGAAAAGTAGTAGATTTTAGCTCGAGGTTTTGTTGTACTCGACGCGTAGCAGAGGGAGGCAACATTGTCGATAACATTTTCAAATCCGACACGTTTTGAAATCACCCTGTACATGAATTTAAAAAAAAATAACAAACGGTTACCGAGATATTTGCTTGGTTCCATACTGCATCCCAACCCTGTATATCAGCTATTAGTTTTGCGAATCTTACAAAATTTGGATCGGTGTGAATAATCATTTATATTATCAATTTTTCAGAGACGAACATCATTTTTGACAGTGCCGTGCGTTTTCACTAGAATGAAAAGTTGTCAATTTTACATGAAATCATATTAGGAATTTTCTTATAAGAAAAATTATATCATAATATTGTTCTTTATCGATTCAGAACAGCATTCGTGAATTTTCATTTGATTTCTATGAAAGGTTTCACACAGGAACGAGATATCATTCGACACATGGACATCTGATGGATGTCCAGTGGATATCCATTCAGAGTGTTTTGAATATCCAATGGAAGTTCAAATATTATTCAAAGGATTTCTCATAAACGTCCAGTGGATATCCATAGGATATCATTTGGATAAAATTTGGACGTCTAGTGAATATCCAGAATATATTAAACGGTTATCCACTAGACAGGTGATGTATGCGGATTATACTAATTTTGAGTTAGGAAATCGGAATCATTCTAATTCTGAGTTGTGGATTCGAAATTATACTAATTCTGAATTGGACTACTTGTTCTGAGTTGTGAACTCAAAATTATACTCATTCTGAGTTGTAAAGTTAAAATTATACTAATTCTGAGTTTCAAACTCGAAATTAGACTATTTCTGAGTTGTGAAGTCAGAATTATACTAATTCTGAGTTGCAAAGTCGAAATTGAAATAATTCGGAGTTGTGAAGTCGAAATTATATATTTTATTTCAATGTGGCATGAATTATTTTTCATATCCTGTATATGTTCGAAATGGTTTGTTTTCAAGATACCGTGTGTTAGTTTGTGCACGAAAAATATCTCCAAGTAGAGTTTTTCAACTTTTTACTGTTTTTTTAGACAAACCAATTGAAATAATAAATTTTTGGTCCCTTGATTTTACATTTTCTTGAATAAATGAGATTTTTTTGAATGAATAATATTTTAGAGGTAAATTCGATATTGCCTCTTCCACTATTTCATCTCTCATTTCGTCATTGATGAAAATTTTGACGCGAAATCAAAGCGTCGGATAGTACTCGATGAAATCTTCAAAATTAGGTATTGCAACTGGTAGGGGGATAAAGAAAGTAGACAATTCATCCCCCCTCCCCATCTCTCCCCCCATAATCACAAATCAACAGGTACGAGCTTTTTTCCGGACTTTCATTTTGATATCCTAAAACCAGGGTGTGAAGTTTTCGTTCGTTTATTTCCCATCAATATTGTTGAAAACTGTTTTCAATGATGAGTTTCTCTACAGACTTCTGACTACCAATGATTTCAATTATTTATTGATGATTAACAATGAATATCGTTGTCTACATTATACTAATTGTTGAAAACTGAAATGACATATTCCCTTCAACTGCAACCTGCATTGCGACTAACGCAAGTTATAAATATAGCTATTCAGAAATCAAAAGTTCATTTGATATTTCAGAGTGCTTAGTTGCATGATCAAACCTCGGAAAGTTTCATTTATTGGGAAACGTGAGCTCATGCAATATATTTCACAAGCATATTGTATACCTGAAGATACATCAAGCCATCGAATGAAATATCGATACAGTATATCTTGAGACCAGTGAAATAGTTTTTGGGTAAACTGGAATTTTTATGAAAAATCTTATTTGCGTGAGCTACCTTTAGGGAAGATTGTATACAAGATCCGAGAGAAAGCCTATGATGAAATCAATTATTAGTCATTTCACCTAGTTTGAAACTCAAGGTCCACAACAAGAATGGACTGCTTCCTTCTTTCAAACATTAGTATATTGTTTAACGAGCGCACGGAATCATCCATCTGACTTTATCATAAGCAATGCTCATCTATCAGACAGAACTGTCATTGCTTGAAATTTGACAGATCATAAGAGATGAGATTTTGTGAAATTATAACACAATTAAGATATTGTGATATGAGATACGGAAATGAAATTGATTATATATACAAAGTACCTCATTCATTTATCGAATACATCAGTAAAACGAGAGCAATTTTTTCATGGAAACCATCCATTCTCACCAAGTGGTCCAATATTTTTCAACAGGAGAAAAAAACGAACTCAAAGTCGGTCGACCACATTATCCGGTCGTTAGAAGGAAGGATCAATCTAGCCTCGAACTCAACAAAATTTGTAACGGCTGAAGCGTCAAAAGAACT